GGTTCTTCTCCTCTCCGTTTTGTCCTCGCAACAACCCTGTGAAGTAGACCAGGCAAAGAGGATGTTGGACAAGACACAGATCAGGAGTGGGGAACTTTTGGCCCTCCAGATGTTGCTGAACTTTAAATCCTATCAGCCCTGGCAAACACGGTCAGTAGCTAGGGATGATGGGAGTTCGAATTCAGCATCAGCTGGAGGGTCACAGGTTCTTTCACACCTGATACTGATTTTAAAAACCTTATAAATGTATAGATCTTTATACAAACTTCAAATTAGATTCTGAGCATGGGCATGGGAGATGTCAGAGGAGTATAAAATTATGCACGGTTGTGGACTCTCCTTCCTTGGAAGTTTTTAAGCAGAGGATAAATCTGTCATGGATGCTTTAGCTGAGATTCCTGCATTGCAGGAGGCTGGACTAGATGACCCTCGGGGTCCCTTCCAATTCTGCAATTCTATAAAAGATTTCTCTCTCTCATAATACTAGAAATTGCAGACATGCGAAGGAGGAGTTTGGGAGATTCAGAAAAGGCAAAAGAATAGAGTTAAACCATGTTATCCGCTCCGAATGATGGTTTATGGCTACAAAAGGAAATCAGGCAAGTTCATGGAAGGTATGGCTATGAACGGCCACTAACTCTGCCTCCACAATGGAAGGCAGAAACGCTTCTGAATGCCAAGGAAAAGAGAAAGGATAGCCAAGGCAAAGCCTGCACAAATTTCCTGCTGCTCCACACCTGCCAGAGTTGCTAGAAACATTTTGCCAGAACCTTGGGAGCTGTGGGCAGTCTCTGGTTCATTTGCTTCATTGCCAAATTAATATTCTTGTTTGGAAACGTGGCTGAATTGCAGCTCAGTGCAGCGCTAGGAAACCTTGGAGTAGAGCAGCAGCACTAGGGAACCATCTTCTATTTGTTATTATTATCTCCAGACTGAGGTTTCACATTCTCTTGACAGGCAGGCAGGCTTCCGGGAAAGGGGTCCTCCCATGACAGAAGTGGGCGTGGCCAAAGTAAAAAATGGGTGTGGCAAAGGAGGCAACTCTTTCCTTTGAAGAGCAGGGCACATTCCAGCCATGCAAGAACCCAGAGATTTTGACACCTACACGCTCGGAAAGCAAGAGGCATTTTCAGAATTTTGTGGCACATTCCAGATGGGAGGTTCAGAACATGACCAGTGAGAAGTGTGGCCTGGGAAGGGCCAGACAGAGAAGCCCACATTAAGCCTTCCTGGCAGGGCCTGATCTCACCTCACCCTCGGTTTAGAACCACCTGTATTACATTCAATAGTCTATGGGTTTTTCCCCCGTTGTGCAAACTTCAGGGGAGGGGTGGGGACTCTGGTGGGGGACACATTGTGCTCCTTAGAATCATAGAATCATAGAGTTGGAATAGACCACAAGGGCCATCGAGTCCAACCCCCTGCCAAGCAGGAAACACCATCAGAGCACTCCTGACATATGGTTGTCAAGCCTCTGCTTAAAGACCTCCAAAGAAGGAGACTCCAACACACTCCTTGGCAGCAAATTCCACTGTCAAACAGCTCTTACTGTCAGGAAGCTCTTCCTAATGTTTAGGTGGAATCTTCTTTCTTGTAGTTTGGATCCATTGCTCCGTGTCCGCTTCTCTGGAGCAGCAGAAAACAACCTTTCTCCCTCCTGACATCCTTTTATATATTTGAACATGGCTATCATATCACCCCTTAACCTCCTCTTCTCCAGGCTAAACATGCCCAGCTCCCTTAGCCGTTCCTCATAAGGCATCGTTTCCAGGCCATTGACCATTTTGATCCTTCTGGGGCAGTTTGTGCACCTCTGGTCCCCACCTGCACTCAACTCTCACCTGTGGCTCCTAGAAGCTGTCAGCGTGTGACAGCGGCCACAATCCCAGGGAATGGCTTCAAATAGCTATCTAAACCAGGTCAGGGCAGCCAATGGGCCTCAAACCCTCAGTGAGTTAGGAACTTTCCCTGCATGTGCAGACAGGCCCCGGCAGATTGAGCGGACAAGACTAATCATGGGTCCAATGGTCAAGAAGGCAGTTTCTGCATGTGCTGTAGAGGGAAGTGAGGGGCAGATGGGGATTGTCCAACCAGGAAGGAAGCCCATTTAGGAGAAGGGAAACTCAGATCCTAAGTCCCCACTGCCTTGAAGGATATCTTCGGGAAAAGAAAAGGCTCAGGAGTAAACCCTACACAAATCTGAAGTGGAGTCCTTAAGACAGTTGGATGGTGTCTTGTACAGTGGTACCTCTGGTTGCGAACGGGATCCGTTCCGAAGCCCCGTTCGCAACATGAGCAGAATGCAACCCGCGTCTGCGCGTGCCGCGATACGCTGCTTCTGCACGTGACGTCATTTTGAGCGTCTGCGCATGCGCAAGCGGCGAAACACAGAAGTAACCTTTTCCAGTAATGAAAAAAATTAACCTGAAGCAAACGTTCCCTTCTTGGTTGCCCACAAACTTGACATGAGCCAACAGTGTGACGCGGCAGCTAAAAAAGCCAATGCAATTCTGGGCTGCATCAATAGGAGTATAGCATCTAGATCAAGGGAAGTAATAGTGCCACTGTATTCTGCTCTGGTCAGACCTCACCTGGAGTACTGTGTCCAGTTCTGGGCACCACAATTCAAGAAGGACACTGACAAACTGGAACGTGTCCAGAGGAGGGCAACCAAAATGGTCAAAGGCCTGGAAACGATGCCTTATGAGGAACGGCTAAGGGAGCTGGGCATGTTTAGCCTGGAGAAGAGGAGGTTAAGGGGTGATATGATAGCCATGTTCAAATATATAAAAGGATGCCATATAGAGGAGGGAGAAAGGTTGTTTTCTGCTGCTCCAGAGAAGCGGACACGGAGCAATGGATCCAAACTACAAGAAAGAAGATTCCACCTAAACATTAGGAAGAACTTCCTGACAGTAAGAGCTGTTTGACAGTGGAATTTGCTGCCAAGGAGTGTGTTGGAGTCTCCTTCTTTGGAGGTCTTTAAGCAGAGGCTTGACAACCATATGTCAGGAGTGCTCTGATGGTGTTTCCTGCTTGGCAGGGGGTTGGACTCGATGGCCCTTGTGGTCTCTTCCAACTCTATGATTCTATGATTCTATGTAACAAGAGGTATGACTGCACAGCTCTGTCCTGCAACTCCTGCAGCCCAGCTGGTGTCAAATGTGTTGCTCTGCTTTCCTTTGGACCACATCAGCGAGGCTGAGGGGGGTCTTGTCGTCTGGGCAGCCCAGGACCTCCAGACACACTGCCCAGACTTGAACCCCGGAGAGGTTACTTTGGTACTGCTAACGCAGTGGTCTGACTTCACCGAGACAGAAAAGGTCTACATCTCTATTCCACTGGGCTGCTACAACAAAATCAAACCTTGATCAGAATCCAATGAATGTTGGTGCTTTGGTCAGGATTTGGCCTGGTGTGCAGTGATGCTCACCGGCTCACCAGATAAACAGTATGGTGCGGGTGTGACTTTGGGAACTGGTGCCAATTTGCAAAAAGAGGAGAGTCATCATGGTTGGCAGACCTTTGGGGAGGGGGCCTGAAAGGCTGATTCACCCCTGGCCACCATCCTGGGTTACATATTCCACACTTGCACATAGTCCAGGTACCCCCAAACTCGGGTCTCCAGATGTTTTGGGACTACAATTCCCAGCATCCCTGACCACTGGTCCTGTTAGCTAGGGATGATGGGAACTGTAGTCCCAAAACATCTGGAGACCCGAGTTTGCCTGACATAGTCCCACTCCTCAGCTGATGGGTGGACACTGTAAGAGCAGCCCTGCAGGATCAGGCCCAACATCCGGCTTTCACAGAGGCTAACCAGATGCCCCAATGGGAAACCGACAAGTGGGACCTGAGGGCAACAGCCACACTCTCCACGCTTCTGAATTCCAGCAGCTGTTATTCAGGGGCACAGGCTGCCTCCTAACAGCAGAGGTCGAGGATCACCATTGTGGCAGCAACCACTGGTAGCCTTATCTTGCCTGAATGTGGCTGATCGCCTTTTAAAGCTTGGTGGCCATGAGAGAGCAATACAGTGGTACCTCGGGTTACATACGCTTCAGGTTACAGACTCCATTAACCCAGAAATAGCATCTTGGGTTAAGAACTTTGCTTCAGGATAAGAACAGAAATCGTGCTCTGGCGGTGCGGCGGCAGCAGGAGGCCCCATTAGCTAAAGTGGTGCTTCAGGTTAAGAACAGTTTCAGATTAAGAATGGACCTCCAGAACGAATTAAGTACTTAACCTGAGGTACCACTGTATATAAAACACATGCATACATACATGCCACTGCTATCAAAATCGGGGACACAGAAAAAAATAGCTGGGCCCCCCAAAACCAGATCTTCAAACTGAAGCCCAACCTTTCATTTTGGAGGGTAAGTGCACAG